CCTCATTATAATGTGCATAACCTGTGTTTTCATTGAGAGGATGCTTGAATGCACGGTAGTGCTTTCAGCATCTTCTCACTAGTTATTTACAATGTGCCTCAAGATTTAATTTATGGAAAGTCCAATCATATCCAAAGCATTTCAACAATGTTTTTCCTATTGAACATTCCTCTACTCAACACCTTACTCAAATCATTCATTACAATATATAATCCTTACCACTTGTTTTTTATTTTCTTCCAGGCGAGATAATTCAACCATCACCTGTATCTCCTATTGGTTCAATTTTTTACTTTATTCTTACTCAAATTTTTTTGTAAACTTGTTCAACTTGTATATTGATGATTAAGATAAAAAATAAAAACTTTATTTTTTCCTTGTTCATTACAGACGTTTATTCCAACTAGTCATGCTGAGTGATGTCTAATAGCAGCTGGCCAAATTACAATCGAGTGGTGGGTGGGTCACAGTCAAGTACAAATAAGCCATTCACTGCCAAAGAACAAATATAATCATTCTTTCTGATCAAGTACTTTAACCCTCTTGATTCCAATGACATAACCAAAAGACGTAAGACATCACCTACTTCCTATAACACACAACACCATATTCACGTAATTGTTCATACATGTATACATTGTCACAGCAAAATCAATTACATAAATTTACAGCTCCAGCAAATCATCTGCCCATATTAACTATAGCCTCTTTTGTAATCCCTCTATTACTTATATTTTGTGTTTCAATTACATAATGTTAGTCCAAAAATGTCAGCTTCTATTATTTGAACACAATCCTATTATCAAGGTCACTTTTGTATTGCGCTGGTCCCGCTAACTCTGGGTAAAATATTTGTTTTTGTTCAGTACAATAATTTCAAATAGATGACAAGGTTCTGTGAATCCTTTTCACATCAGAGATAATTTATAACCTTAAAATAATGACTAATGTGTTCCATGAACTCTGGTCACATTACCACGAATCGTAATGAGATGCGGCTTTGTATTTAAATAAACATGAACCCGTGTCGGTTAAACCGGCAGAAGGGTGTTAGATGCATTGACAGTGATCAAGGGTGTTGGATGCACTGGTGATGACCACGGGTGTTGGGTGCCCTGGTGATTACCACGGGTGTTGAGCGATGACCACGGGAGTTGGATACCCTGGTGATGACTACGGATGTTGGATGCCATGGTGATGACCACGGGTGTTGGGTGCCCTGTAATGACTACGGATTTTGGGTGATGACCATGGGTGTTGGGTCCACGGGTGTTGGTGATGACCACGGGTGTTGGTTGC